AAGTCGCCATGTGTCACGCTCTGAGAGGAAGGAGTGTCGACCAAGGTCGGGCGTGGCACACACTTGTCCTATAAAAACTTGTAGTTGCTCATTTGATTTCCACACCAACCCACACATCCTCTCTCGAGTTTCTCTCGATTTTAGCCCCAATTTCCTTTAGTTTTTAGTCTTTGGCGAAGCCGTGAGGCCCCTAAGAGCCAGGTAATTTGTAGCTAGCAGGTCATAGTTCTGCCAATGCAATTTCCAGACTTTTCTCTAGTTAAATTACACTCAATTTTATTTTAGTGTAATTTACATTTATACTCATAGTTGTTATTATGAATCAATAAATAGGATTTATCAATGATTCCAAGTCATTATATTGATTGATCTACTTACGGGAGTGATGTCTAGGCTGGATTTAGTGGGGTGTTTAAAGTGGAATTTCCAAACAATATATTATGTATACAAAACGGACCCTACCTCTAATATGATCCTGCCTGGTTATTCCGTACTTGATAGATCTTGATGTAGACATTAGGATTAGTGAGGAATCTAGACTATCATTAATCACCAAGAGTATTAGACTAAGACTTAGTATTTATTTTACTAGGTCGCGTCAAAGGAAAAGTTAAAGTGATAAGGTGAGGTTCTGCACAAATTCTGAGGCATCCACTTTTATCAAGTGAGTACATATTTACTTTCAACTTACACATAGATACATGTACTCTAAATACTTAAATGCTATGTGCTCTATTTTGATGTGTTTAATATATTTGTACAATATGATATGGTCGTTGCTAAATAATATGATTGGGTAGTAAAGGATTGTATGAAATAACAAATGAGAGGTTATGATAGGGCTGTGTGAGATAGTGGTTGTGATAGGTTAAGTGAGAGTTGTACAAAATAATAAGTTGTGACTTGTCGTGCCTATCCAAAGTACTATTGTACTGTCGTGCCTACCCAAAGAACTATTGTATTGTCATTCTTATCCAAAGTACTATTGTATTATCATGCCTACCCAAAGTACTATTATACTATCGTGTTATGTTCAAAGTATTATCATACTGTCGTGCCTAATCATTTATGGAAATATAGATGACTACTGTCAAAGATCCTTTAGAATAGATCTCCTAAGATCATCCTTCTAGGATTTGGAAGCGAGAATAACAGGAATAGCGTAACTGCGCTACTTAAATGTTGAAGATTATATACTTAAAGATTATAATATTGTGGGTTGAAAATCATGTTTGCTTAACATGTTTCCCAACCTAACCCACTTAGTTTCTTTGTATCATAGATAGCGATATGAAGGTACTAATAGACAATGTACTTATCTGCTGAGAGATTTAAGGAGTTCGTAGGTTGCTAGAATATCGATATAAGTCCTATTTATGCTTATGTTTTTGCATTAGTTATGACATTCCCAGTTTTTAATAATCAATGAAAAACATTTTCTTCGGAAAATACTTTAAATATGACAAATTCCGCATTTATAAAAATCACTTTGATTTAAAATAAGCATAAAGAATAAGTTTTAAATTGGCCGTAAATTTGGGGGATGCCATAGCTTGAGTGTGTTTCCAAAAGAGAACCTACATCTTGTACATCATTTGGACCTCTGTAAGTGTTCAAGTTCCTAGCTTTGTGGCTTTAACTTCCTAGATCTAGCATTTTATGGATTTTTATGTCCCTTTGATGGTTTTGGTTGGAGTTTATGGAAGAACTCCAGATAAAGTTTGCAACTTTATTAGTCTTAAATGTCCCTAGAGTGTTTCATCTTGTAGATCTAGAACTTAAGTTTGTTTTGGGGCTATGTAAGGAATAAAGGTCACATTTTTACCATTTTTACCTAAAATGGTGTAAGACATGCATGGGGTATGAATGACCATAAAGTTACAATTTTTATGACTTGTTTACATGTATTAAAACCTTATGGAAAGTTTGAGGATTGGTCTTAGCATATTAAGAACTTAATGAAGAAGTTGGTTTTCCAGACGAACTGCAATGTGGTCAAGGGCTGACCACGACATGGTAAACGAATGGTCTCACGTCTTTTTTATCGTTTAGCAACCACGACTTTGCAAGGGTCTAGCTGCAGCATGGTGGTATGGGGAGGTTGATCGTTGACTCTTTTACCAAAGTTGAATTTTGGTCAAACTTTAGACTTTTAGGTCATAGACTGAGGCTTGACCTTTTATTACATGTTTAGGTGGTTGTTGTACCTGCCTTCATGTTTTGCGACTTGTAGGGATTTTCTACCTTGTTTGTGAGGTGGGTATTCTCATTGTATTACTTATATCATGTGTTGTATGCGGTCGTTGATGGCTCGGGGTTGCTGGTAACCCACATATGTTGTATTTGAGTTACTGATAACTCAAAGTTGTTGATAACCCACATATGCTGTAATTGAGTTGCTGATAACCCACATATGATGTATTAGAGTTTCTGATAACTCAATATTGCTAATAACTCATAGTTTTTATATATGCTTAGTTGTGCTATGTTGCAAGTGATACTTTGAGAAGGGCAAAAGCAGCAATGGAAAAAAGAATAACTGACAAGTAGTGGAGGAACAACTGATGTGATGAGAATTTATAAGGATAAATAACGGGGGAATACCAAATGTTGACAATCCAAGAGACTAAGCGGTTACGCAAGCACACAAGCGCATGCAACCAACGCATGATGCTTCGATACCTAAGACATTTAAAGCACATTTAAGCCCAATTATTAAACACGGCTTAACAACAATCTTTAACAATTAGGCTGGGGTTTAATGGTGTATGGGGGTTAGACTATACATAAAGGAACTACGACATCACCAAAAGCAGTTCAGCCCAACAGGGTAAGCCCACAGCTTACTAGGTCGACTCTCTTTATCAAATGCAAACTAACTGGAAAAATGGGAAGCAATATATTATGGCAAGAAATCACCCGTACGAATTCTCATACAACATCCCAAGAAACATGAAAAAGGTAATACTATTATATTGAAGGGTACTACCCTTGTAACCTATGGACAACTGCATAACTTGGTTAAATAATCAGTAACCCAGACCATCCCCATCTATATATAAGAACATCGATAGATGTAGAACTTTCTCACCTTAAGCAAATTCACAACACTCCTAATCGACATCTAACTTAGGAATCAGAGAGCAATACTATGGTCCATCGCTTACTATCACTTTCTAACCTAACATTTGTCTACCTTTTGTAGCATGGCTTCCTATTTTTGCATTAGAAAGTAACATTATCAACCAGCTATCATGTATCCAAAAGGCTATGTAGCAACATATACTATCTAACTTGTTGAAGTTGATCATATATTACCCTTGTGGCCAATAGTTATAGGTTACAAAGGTAATATGTGAACTGTTTCAACAAGTTAGATGTTATATAATGTACAAAAAAAAGAGAGACTAAATGTGAACATAATCAAAAGAACCAATACTTTTGTCAGAACTTAGGAACTTTTTTTTTCGACTAAAATTTCTCCAAACCAACACCCTGCCCTTGGGCATCGTCTAAGCCAGTCACACCATAATAAAAAATGATGTTTTTTTTGTAATGTGCATATTAGGGGTGAGTATTTGGACCTTTAGACCGGATCGGACCGGGAACCGGACTTGGACCGGTTCTTGGTTCTTTGAATCATGCAAAATCATTCCAGTTTAACAGGAATTCGTTTTAAAGTAACAGATAAATTAACTTCGGTAGTGCATCAACGAGTTATACCATATGCATCTAAAGTTGTATTGGTCTAACGAATACATGAACTACAGATCCATGAACTGGAAAACCGAGGACCAGTAAGTCTCAACAAGTTCGGTCCATGGTCCACAAATTTCTGCCAAATCGGTCTGTTTCGGCCAAATGCTCACCCCTGGTCCATATATGTACAAATGTTTGTATATGCACAATTATAGTTTTCGTCTTTTTTTTCCTTTTTTTTTTTGTATTTTTAACCTACAAATAGCTTACACGATCTTTATTAAGTTATTTTGGATAATCAATATTTCCTAATACACTTGAAATTTTGATTTTTGTTATTCAAATTTAATCGAGAACCAGACAAAATAACCTGAAAACTGATTTACCCAAACCTTATTTGGTTCAGTTTCGGTTAATACTTTAAAAGTAAAAAAGCTCGGTTAAATCAAATTGAATGAATTGATAACCAAATGAACCGAAGAATAAAATCCCTACGTACATTGATAACCTAGTCTAACAGTAAAAAAAATAACCTCCTTATATGTAACTTGTTACCTAGGCTACATACAATTAAAACCTAGTCTTTTGTTTATTTCCATATGATAAAATAAATGAGAACGGGAATTTAAAAAGTTCGTGTTGTTTTATGTTTTATGTGTTAGACGAACCATTTAATTATAAACTATAAAATAATATAAAAACGATGAAAACTATAAATATACATATATATAAATTACAACAAACAATGTTGTTTTTTCGTTATTATGGTGCTACTGATTTAGACGATAGCCAAGGGGTGGTGTGGTGGTGTTGGTTTTGAAATATTTTTCCTAAAAAAAAAATTCTTAAATTCTTATGCAAATATTGGTTCTCAAATTAATTTTTGATTTTGTTCACATTTAGTCATGTTTTTATATATTATATATCATCTAACTTGTTGAAATTGTTCAAATATTATCATTATAACCTACAACAACAGTAGTCAGTTGTAATGATAAACGTAAACAACTTCAACAAATTGGATGATATATGATGTATAAAAAATTAAATGCAACAGCAACAGTCACTTGTAATGATAAACATAAACAACTTCAACAAATTGGATGATATATGATGTATAAAAAAATAAATAAACTTAAACAAAATCAAAAATTAATTATCTTGTGAGTCACTTTCCCTATAACAATATTAAAACAGTAAAAAAATTACAATAAATTAACATTGGAAATAAAAAGTTTCATGTTTTTAACAGATAAGAAAATACACAAATAAACAATTGGAAAACCAACCGGAAACTACCACTAGCAATAGAAGTGTGAAAGAAAATAGAGCAGTAGAAGAGCAGCAAAGCAACACAGATTTGCTTCCATTTCAACTGAAAATTCGTCTACAAAACCGACGAGATAAGGGTTGAGCGGATCGGATCCAAGTAGAATCGGGTTGGAAAGAGAGTGTATGATGGACCAGGAATCGGGTTGGGAAGAACTGAGGAAAGAAGCTCGTAAGATCGAAGGCGATCTTGATGTTAAGCTCTCTTCTTATGCTAAGCTCGGCGCTCGTGTCACTCAAGGAGGTTCGTAACTTTCCCCTCTCTTTCTCTGTCAGTCCGTATATATGATTATCACTTCAAATTTCAGATCTTACTCGTCACGATTCACATTTTCAAATTCAAAACCCTAGAACTGGTATTGGACGAATTTAGGATCATTTCGGATGCTGATTTTATTTTTGGTTATGTACTTGCGTATCACATTTCTGAATCCTATGTAGAAGAAGTATCAATTTCATGAAATTACTACGCGATGTACTTTAATGATGGATCAATTAAGTTAAAAGTTACTAGAATGGTTCAGTTTTGCTATTGCAGTAATTGGTCGCTTCCGTACTCCTAATATTTACGATCCTTAATCTATTCTGTGTTTGATTAGATCAGATTTTATATAAACCTACCTGATACTCCATCTGCACTGAGATTAGAGTCCACTTCTAAAGGATTTTGTGTCACAAGAACAGACTCGAGCAATGCAAGCTGACCTAATGCACCAATTTACCTTCATCTTTATATCTTCACAGAATGGAGGGTGAAACATGTTATGATGATTAGCAACCTAAACATTAGATTTAGAACAAGCCACAAAGTTACTTGGATGCATAGTTGCTGATGATTATGCTTTGGGAAACAGGTTTTGCAGATGCTGAAACACCAACAATGGCGTCCAACCGTTCATGGAAGTCAATGGAGATGGAAATACAGTCATTACTTGAGAAGTTGTTGGATGTGAATGATTCCATGAGTAGATGTGCTGCATCTGCAGCACCTACCACTTCAGTTACACAGAAGCTTGCAAGACACAGGGATATACTTCATGAGTTTAGCCAGGTTCTTACTTGAATTTGCTTAATATTTGCCCTTATGATAACCACCATCATATTCACCACATAAAGAACATTCTGTAGGAATTCAGACGAATCAAAGGAAACATAAGTGCAATGACAGAGCATGCTGAGCTTCTAAGTTCTGTAAGAGACGATATCAGTGAATACAAGGTCAGAAAATGAACATTCAGATCAGATAAATATTTTTGACAAAATATTATTCTTGAAAAGTATGACCTTAGAACATTTATATACAGGCATCTGGGAGCATGTCACCAAGAATGCAGATACTAAGGGAAAGAGCTGCTATCCATGGAAGCATATCACATGTAAGTTTTAATTTCTAATATACATATAATATAATACCTATATATATTTCAATGAATTGGTAAATATAAAATTTTGGAAGAAAAAGCTATTAACTTTTAGGGTTTGTTTTAGATGGATGATGTGATAATTCAGGCTCAAACAACAAGGGCAGCTTTGGGGTCTCAAAGGGCCATGTTTGGTGATGTTCAAGGGAAAGTTAAACAACTAAGCGACAAGTTCCCCTATAGTTCGGGGACTAATCGGTATCTTTCTTTTACTTTTCCTGTTTTTCAATAAAGAGATTCAAAATCGTTCCAATAAAGTTTGTTTAAATTGTTTACAGGGTCTATTAGAAGGAAGAAATCAAGGGATACTCTCATTCTATCTGCTGTCATTGCGGCTTGTACATTGTTTCTCATTATATATTGGCTGTCAAAGTGAAAAAGGCTAATGTCTTTATCATGAAAATGTGAAAACAATGCTATATTCCATAGAAATTTTGTCCAGTTTGTTATTAAAATTCAGAACTTGGAGACGTTTTTTGTGCATTTTTTGGACATTTACTTTCTTATTGTTGAGATAATGAGATAGTTATATGATGTATATCCCCTGCTTTTGGAGGGTGTTATAGTTTATTCAAAAGACACATAACTGTCATTTGATTTTTTGAAGTAGACATAACATAACATTTGTCATGAAGCATAACATTATGTTAATCGTTTTACAAAAAAAAATGAACTTATAAATCATTGAAAAAGCAATATCATTATATTCTTAAAAGTATATAAAATATATGCTTCATTGAAATCAAGTTCTCCATGATTAAGGGATTGTTTGGTAGAACATGAATGATTTGGTAATGATTAAGAGGCATGAATGATGAATGACTTTGTTGTTGAATGAATATGTTGAAAAAGAAAAATTACCATTTTAACCTTTTAACAAAAACTTCACCATTAACAATCTCTTAAAAAATATCTAAAACAATAACACAAATCAATTAATAATTTGAACCACAAAGAATAGAATAGTTATTTTAATAATTCCAACAATTCATTCTCATAACTCTTATCATACAAATCTTCAAAGAATGATAAATATAAACCTAAAATAATCAAGAATGAATTTGGCACTATACCTTTACGCAGTTTCCTGAAATTTGACACTATAACATTTACAAATAATGCGATCAAGAATGAATTTGACTCATACTGCCAAATGATCAAACATGTGGTATGCATACATGGTCTCAAAGGGTAGACCTACTGTCCCCCTTCAAAAATCCAAAAAAGTCAAAATAAGCATCATTAGAAAGTCAAAATTAGTTCTTGAATTGAAAGGGAAAGAATGCCAAGTCAAAACAAGCATTCTTGAATCCAAAAATACATTCTTGAATTAGTTCTTGGAAGCCCAAAAGGGAAAGAACGCTAAGTCAAAATAAGCATCAATAGAAAGTCAAAATCAAATCCATGACTTTGAATTAACACATAAACATTCAAGAACACAGAGGAGCAATGAGGAGAAAAGAGGGCAAATGTGTTTGTGTATGTGTTTGTTGAAATGAATGGTTCAAGGTTAAATGCTACATCGCTTAGAGGCTACTTAACCATTCAGAAACTCATTTTAAACTTACCAAACCCCTTGAATGTTGAAAGGTTAATAGGTTGCGTCTTAGTTGAATGGTTAAGAGGTGAAACAAACAACCCCTAATTCATCATAAATTCCATTTAACATAACCTCATGTGACAAGGAAAACATAACCCTACAGCCATACCATAAGGTCTCAAATGTGTTGTTTGTTTTAACCTTATTTTGAAGTTTCATCAAAACAACGTTGTTTTGCATATTGTTAAAATACTACATGAGTGCTATTTGCAGCAAAAAGAAAAGTAGTTGCACAACTAGAGTTTTAAGATTGTACACTTTATTTGCTAAATAAAATCAAAATCCTTCCTTAGGAGAATACATCTTATAATGAAATTATGATTTAGTTGTATTTCCATAGATTTAGTGTGATCACATACACGAAGTACACAACAACATAAGCTCACAATAGGGTAAAAATGAATTTAAACAAGTTTACTTTTGATTGTTTGCTATAGATATTTTTGCAAAAACAAGTCATATATTTTTCTTGAACAACTGGTTACTGGTTAGTGGTTAGAAGTTAGTAATATATTTTTTAAGTTCAGATTTTAAAAGGGCATGAATTAGTTTTTTTTTTCGGTAATCATGATATTTGAATTGTAAAAGGAGATATCAATGACTCCCAATTGCATCATGATTAAAAACAGTACAGCTTGGTTAAGGTCTGACCAAGGTGACACACCACTGTTGCTAGAAGATGATGCATCATCATCATCATGATTCTGCTCTCTAGTCATACCATTCCTACACTTGGCAATAGAAAATTAAATGCTCAAGATCTTAGTAAATCCAAATTCTACATAAGTTACAAGAGTTGTAATCAAAGGACAAGCATATAATTTACTGTAAGTTAGAAGAATAAGAGAAAACAAGCACAAATATGAAAAGGATCCTCAAATAAAAAGAAATACAAAATGTCTACATGATATACATTCTAATTAGTAAATGTGCCTAAAAAATATTAAACAAGTCATAAATGACATTGAGTGGAAATTAGCAGTTCTAGAAGAGATGTAACTGTAAAATTGTTCTTTATAAACTAAAATTGAAACGCGTACCACAATATCTCTCCATACCCTAAGGCTTTTGTCTATGACCGTGCTTTTGTAATCAAAACCTTACATGAAACCAAAATACCAAACTCAAACAAACCCTAGACAATCCAACAAATTTGGGATAATACTGTTCATTTGCACCTTAAGTCTATGACTATCCGCATTGGTGAGTAGATCACCAGCAAAAATTAAAAACAAAATTAAAAAGTATCAAAAAGTAAAAGAGTTGAGGTGAGCGGCTCGTGCAGGCGGCCTAGTTCACTCCCCTCTTTTGTATTTCTTTTTGACAAAATTGCAAAAATGGTTGGTTGTCAAAATTATGCGGTTTGTTCCAAAAAGGTTTGGTGGTGCACTAATGGTCCAATTTTGGATACCTTATGCGGATTCGGTCCCTATATCGTTAACTTTAACAGGTTGGCTGTTAACTTTTTTAAAATGACTATTTTACCCTCAGGGACCATTTTTGCAATTGAGTCTTTTTACCAAACCACTGGGATCATTTCTGCATATCTTATTTTTAACTTTATTGAAGTATTATATATTAGTGTTTTTTTAATTAATTTTTTTAATCTCTTTTATCGGATTAATTCTTTTTATTGGATTATTATATATTAATAAATATTATTTTTAATATATAATATTTAATATATTAATAATATTATTTTATTGGAGTATTGATTTCTTTTAATTAATTCTTTTTAATTGGATTATTATATATTAATAAATATTATTTTTAATATCTAATATATATATATATATATATATATATTATATATGTATTAATATTACTTTATGGGATTATTAACTTCTTTTAGTTATTTTTTTTTAATTTCTATTCTATTAATTCTTTTTTGTCGGACCGAGTTTTGCGACATATTTTGGACAAAATCACCATTTTCGGACCGAGTGATAGTAATGGTGTTGTCCAAAATATGATATCTCATATATTTAAAATAAATTAGAAGATGTGGGTTTTTGGGCCTTGTTCTTGAAATTTTGTTGGATTAATTTCTTTAGTTAGTTTCTTTTTAAAAATTTTTTTATTTATATTATTCTTTTTTCTAATTGTTATATATGAATAAATATTATTTAAATAATATATTAATATATTAATGAATATTATTTTATTGGACTACTGATATTTATATATTTTTTTTAATATTTATTTGAATTATTGTACACTAATAAACGGAAAATTAAGTAATCTAACAACATTTTAATGTGTATTTTGAAGAAAATAACCAATTTTTTTTAGCAAAAATAATCATTTCGTCTGGAATGGCATTCCATGCGATAGCATATTTTGGACAACACCACCACTATCACTCGGTCCGAAAATTGTGGTTTTGTCCAAAATATGTCTCAAAATCGATCCGACAAAAAAGAATTAATAGAATAGAAATTAAAAAAAATAACTAAAAGAAGTTAATAATCCCATAAAGTAATATTAATTCACTACGACATACTATATATATTATATATAAATATATATATTAAAAATAATATTTTTTACTATATGATAATCCCATAAAAAAAATAATCCAATAAACGAGATTAAAAAGAGGAATTAAAAAAGAAATCAATACGCCAATAAAATAATAGGATTAAGGATCAATAGTATATATTAAAACTAATATTTATTAATATATTAAAATCAGCCAATAAAAAATCAATTAAAAAACTTTTATAATAATTTTTCAATAAAGTTAAAAGAAGATATGCAGAAATGGTCCCTATGGTTTGGTAAAAAGACTTAATTGCAGAAATGGTCCCTGAGGGTAAAATAGTCATTTTAAAAAAGTTAACAGGCAAACTGTTAAAGTTACGACATAGGGACTGAATCCGCACAATGTATCCAAAATTGGACCACTGGAAACCTTTTTGGACAAAAACCGCATAATTTTGACAACCACAGGGACCATTTTTGCAATTTTGTCTTTCTTTTTCTTTTACATTTTTAATAAACTTTGTTTTATTAATAAAAATTAGATATTTTGTCATATATCTATATTATATATATATATATATATATATATATATATATATATATATATATATATATATATATATATATAGATATTCCTTAAGACCAATATTGATATTAGTTTTTAATTTTTTGTAAATAAATATTGGATTCGGTTGGGTTGCTAATGTGTGAAAAAATTTAGATTGGATTGGGTTGGGTTGTGTAGGTGGAAGAGAGATAAATAAGTTTTTAATAGAAAAATTCGGTTGGATTGGATTGCTAACGAGGATAGTCTAAAGGAATGAAACTTTGGTTGTCAGTTTTAGTCCCACTCAGATTAGATTTATATATTTCTAGTCCAATTTAATTTACTAATTATAATTTAAAACATTAACTAATATTTTTCATATCATGTTCATAGTAAATTATATTAATTAATCATAAAAATTAAGTTTAGGTTTTATGTATTGAATTTATATCAAAATTTAAATAATTTAAAAAAAAATCTAATACAAGGTAAAATATTTTGTTAAAATTTTATGATAATATAATTTATAAAATTATTCTAATAAAAAATATAATATATAATTGTTAAAAATTGGTAGGAAATTAGGAATATACTTTTTTTGGTGTAAAAATAGAATAAGGTAAACACTAGTTGCACCATTATTTACTCTACATAAAGCTGTGTCGAATCATATGAGAAACAATTAAAGGATCAATTAACCTTACAACCAGAACATTTAAGTTCTAATTTACTGAATTAGAAAAAGCAGAAAGAACATGTAAGTTCTAATTAACCTCACAGCCAGAACACAGATAGAAACCATTAAACCCTAGACAATCAAGTAATCAACCAAGCGAAGCGAAATTCAAATAATAAAATACAAAGTGAAAATATTTAACAAAAAAGTTACCAGATTGAGGGCGGTTTAAGAACTAATCGGTAGAAGAATCAGCT